CAGAAGCTTTAAGAGGCATCCCACCGCCCCACCAGCTCAAAAGCATATGAAAAAATGCTCAACATCTCTAATCATCAGGGAAATGCAAATTAAACTTTATATTGTTTTGAATCAATATGTGTGTCTAAACTACATAAGTATTCAAGTAGAACATACACACTATATGGGTCCATGCAGGTATTTTCAGACAGGGACAATTTTGGTCTGATAATCATGATCCCCAGCAATCACTTATTAAATACCATCATTTAAAAAAAAAAAAAACTTGTGCCCCAAGATCATGTCTATTTTGATGGGATCGAATACAAAATATCTTTATCAATCACAAATAGATATAGGCCTTTCTTCTTTCCTCCGAATCAGAAAACACTTATTCTTTCTGACTTCTTTTTTGTTTCTTTAACGATCATGAGTTTTCATGGACATATATAGAAAATTAACTCATGGTATGAAGTTAATCTTCCCAACCACTTCCAAGTTGATGATAGAAAATAGAAGGTGAAGATAAACCCTTCACAGTCTGTTAAGTTTTTAACAACAATTTATAATGCCCTAATTATAATAGTCATTCTTCTTTTTGTATAGGGGCAAGAAAGAAAGATTCTTTTGGCTCCTGCAAGACAAATATGTTCTGCTGAGGAGCAATAAGCTGGTGTGGGGAACTGTCGCTCTCTCATCTGCCCTTCTCTGAGGTCCCTCACCACTGTTTTTTCTTGGTGATCAGAGCAGCTGTTCTGGAAGTCATTTCTTAGCATTGGGCTTTTTCTTTTTGAGGAGCTGTTCACTAACAAAGGTACTTTGACCCATATGCTGCTTTTGCCTCTCTTGCTTGGGTGCTGTGCAGGGCCATATGACATTAGCCCACTGGGCTTCCTGAGCTCTCTAAGAGGGGGCTGTAGGAGCGAGGTTTAGCACAGAACAGCCACTAGCACCGTGGGACTCCCAGGTAAGCCCAGCCACCATGGTCCATAGCTAGTGAAGACACAGTCAAGGCGCGATGTGCTTCTAGCCAGCAAAGTTTCCCTCGGCCAAACCTCCCATGGCATGAAATCAGGTCATTTCATCTGCTTAAACAACAGTGTCAGGAATGTTGAACAAGTGTTTATATAACCATTAACCCGATTAATGTAAGCTTTTTTTCTGGGTCTGGGACACTAGAATGTTCTTTCAAAACACGACTTTCAGAAACAAAGAGATCTGGGCCGGGCGTGGTGGCTCACGCCTGTAACCCTAGCACTCTGGGAGGCCGAGGCGGGC